CCTGACGGAAAGATCCTCACAAGCAAAACGCCCTGTACTGACCTGGGTTTAGAGTATACACATTACGATTAAATGACTACGAAACAGACTCTTGGCTCTTACTTTTTGTCCTTGCAGGTGCTGAGACAAAAACGCACCACAACCAAAGTGCGAGAAATACTGGTATTAAGCGATAAATCTGTGAAATACGAACAGAACCTGCCATAGAAACCCAGTTACCACATTCGAAATTTGAAAATAATTATGGGCAATCTCCAATCGCTTTTCCTTCTCTTGCATCGAGAACTCACCTCTAAACTGTCATACAAATACGTTTGCCAACAGTGCTTTGACATTTATATGCACCACTATTGGTCAACAGCTCCACTGTCACGAGCGGTGTGATCGAATTGACGGTTGAATGAACTGTAATTAACGAAATGTCCTCAGATGTATACCTGGTTACGATGAATGTGATCAGAAGGTGATTAAAAAAAAATAATAACAAAGCCAAAATTCCCGGCACGGGCACGATCTAAATGGACTAAATGCATAGCAGTCAACCACTTTAATACAATGTTCCCTTAGAGGTTCTTTCACACTTCTTAAGATCATTAGATGTATGTTTAGGAATGTTGAGCGATGCCGAAAATTACGAATTTTAAGAGCTTGTCAATGTGTACCGTAAGAATCGCTAGCTTTCGACACTTCGATATCATATCTGACCTTACTGTTTTATGGTAGGCACAAGTTCGATAAGTTCATTCGCTAAAAGATCATCGTAATTCAGGAATCGCTTGACTTTTGTAAACAAAAATCAGGTTCGCCTGAGGTATTCTGTGAAAATTCAGTTCATATTTCTGACTGATGGGCATGGTCTCAAATAGACTAAATATACCCGGCCATCAGAAATATTCACCGAATTACCCCAGAATACCTCATACAAACCTCTCAATAATGTTTGATGCTTGCTAAGATATGTGAAGCACTTCTAAAAACTATTTCGGGTTGTAAGTGAACTAATTTTCCAGGCTTGCGGATACCAAAAAATCGCTAGATCAGAAATGTGTACAACTGGCGGCTGTGTGCACAAGCTCTGAAAATTCGTCCATTAAGAAAACCAAAATAATTTTTGTAGAATCGTTTGGCATTTCTAAACAAATACCTGTTTGAAAGAGCCTTTCAATGCCTATTGCGTGGAGATTTCTGACTGCCGGGCATTTGGTCCATTTAAGACCGTGCTCGGCTGCCCTGCGGGCATTTGGACACCGCTAGAAAAGACTGCGAAAAAGGAAATAATTCCTTGCGATACCAATTAGAAGCGAAGCAATAAAAGGCTTAAAAAGCATTGACTAAAGAAAACAGGTATGAACTACGTCCGGAAAACGATTAAAAAGTCTCTCTTTGAAAAATTATCTTTACAATTACATGCCCGAGGGGCTCGGAGTACATTGTACACCAAGCCAAACTATATAGGTGCATACCCCGCCTTGAATGTACTAAAATAGCTTCTACGTGGTTCTTTTCAATCTTAAAAAAGTTCTCTTTGATCGAATTCTGATAATGCATAAGAAGGCCAATGTTAAAAAAAGTCCCACATGTACGAAATATCATTTCGCAAAGCGCGATCTTGGTGAAACGATTTGAGGAAAAATTAGGACCGTGTGTGTGTGCGTGGGTGGGTGTGTGCGCGCAGGGGCGAGACTATTCTCTCTTCATTTTCGTTTAGGGGGGACTATAGGTCCCCCTGTGCTCCTTCCCCTCAACCTTTGTTCGCCTTTTACATCTAATTTCACAATATCCAGAAGACAGTTTAAGGCTTACGCGGCAGAGAGCTGTTCTCGTTACTGAGTTAACCTCTGAATGGACTCTTTTCCATAAACTCCTCCAATCAAAAAACTTGTCAAGGAGAGAAAACCCTTTAGCAAGAGAGAGAGAGAGAGAGCGGTCCAAATAGTAACCATTGAGAATTCTATGTCAGTTTAGCACACACCTCAAGAGAAGCGATGGTCTGAAATTGTTTACAATTACAGATGTTTTGTGTGATTCGGGCGACATCATATAATCTTGGTCGAACACATGCTTTTCAATTTCTCAAGGTTAAAATTACAATTTCTCGCCTGAAACGGTACCTGGCTAGATGAAACGTTGATGGAATAACAAATAAAAGATGCAGCGCATTGCGACAGAGTGTAACATCTGCTCACTGACTGCAGCTTAGCAATTCAAAATAATTTTACAAACTAAAAGCAAAATGAAACCTTAACCCGAAAACCACTCTCAACCAAACCTTGCCATTTTCCTTCGAAAGATATATGGCTAGAGCTGTAGAAAAAAAAAGTTCCCTGGCCTAGAATTTTTCAAAGGTAAAGCAATTATTCAATGTCTTGTTCTTCAATGAATTCAGTACTCGAACCTTGGCAACCGAGGTAAATACAGATTCCATTCGATTCGATGAACATCGAGCTGCAATCTACGTATGGGAATAAAATCTGTTTCCCGTGAGGAAAAAGTCAAACTTCCGAGGAACACTTTGAGTTTCTAAAAAAAAAAAGGGCTCTCTTTCGCCTTGAACAAACACATGTGCACAAGGTTTAAATTAAATGAAGATGTTGTGAAGTAAAATAAAACATGAAGATATATAGATACAAGAATGAGGCAAAAACTTCGGTAGCGCAAACACTTACTTAGTCAGGTGTTATTCTTTATTGCAGTAAAAAAAATTGATGTTTCATCAAAAAGATAATTGCATGATATACCCATGTCACTAATAATTATATGTCCTAAAGGTAGGCGGGAAATATTGGACTTATCTGCAGGAAATATAACCACTTCATTTCTTACCTAAAATTTCATGCGTTTATTGTATGTTTTAAATACCGCAACTCTTCCGGCTTCCAAGAACAATTGGTATACTTTACAATCAAATATTACAAATGTAAATGGAAAAGATATAAAAGCCGAATAAATACTGAAATCTCACCCTTCTTATATTTCTCCTGCTTGGCTTCAAGACCTAGAACGAAGAAAAAAAAGTATATCGAGACTATGCACACGAATTTCATCGAAAAACTCCCTTCAGATCATTTTCTTTTACCAGGGAAAAAAATCATTTCAAAATCTCGATCTGACTTTTGGTTTTATCATATCTACCCACTGGGAACGATTTATCACCTATTGCCTAAACAAACGATAGGGATCCATTTATTTTTCAGCAAGATAATTAAAATTAGATGACTCAGGGCAATCAATATCCAGCGGTACAAATCATACAGCGCTGGCCATCTGCCAAATGTATATCAAGTTGGCTGAAGTATCACTAAGCTACTTAAGCGTCAGAAGTTTTCTGAATTCTCTCGATGAGGTGATTAAAAATAATTTGCCTTTTCTGTCAGCCATAACTTAGGTTTCGACTGATTTGGCCGACCTCCGTCTGGAGTGTGGCAAGTATTGGTCCATCACTGACTCTTTTAGATATTTATTTTTGTTTATGAAAAAAGTCTTTACTCTCGATCGATCCATGACGCACATCGGGTTTTGGTAAGAACAAAATAACTTCTCATAGCCTTTGCTTTAATTAAAGGAAGTCAAGACTAGTATTTTCGAGCAAACCGATTATCTTGAAGCATTAAAATCTAATTTTTCAGAATCTATCTTAATGAAACTGCAAACAATAAATGTATTCCATAGGTATATATGTATTTTCCGCTTTCCTAAGGTCAGCTTTCAGAAGCGATAATTTAAAAAAATCATCAATTCAGTCAATTAGTTCATTCCATATTGCCAAACCTATCACCAAGTGTCTTTCCCCATTTTCATTTTTGGGAATTACCTCAAGGTAAAATATTAATGGTATCATATATAAAACTGGTCTCAGCAAAAGAGTAAGCACATTTACTTTCACCGCTGAATAAAGACACCGGCATGTGGAGTCTGACAATGGTTGTTGCAATTGCCTTTACTAAGCTCTGACAGAACCTTTAAGAGAAGATATACTTATCCTGAAGAGAAGCTATTAAATTTTGATGCACTGAGCATAAGGAGTAGCAGTTCAACTTTATCAATCGTAAAGCGAACCCGTCTTCTTCAAAGCATTTGATATGATAACTCTCCCATTCGCTCATGTAATACAACAGAAGTCACAATAGTTAACCAAGAAAGATGAAATCGGTTCCCAGAATATTTTCGGCGACAACACATATTAAGAAAGATCCACCTCTCACAATAGTTCTTTCATTGTGCATGTAGTAAAATTTTAGCACTTCTAGATCCGGGGTTTGTTCTCGGATATTTCTGTGATTCCTCTTTCCTTTTTAACTTCACCTTTTTCATGCAGATGTTGCAACCCTCAAATGACAAGGAAAAGGATTCGATAACACCCTACATTATATTTACAACTCCCCAACACAATACGATTAACAGCTAATCGATAACTAGTGTATCACCGTGTTATTTCAATCTCAGCAATCAATTTAATTTTTCTTCAGGACGCAAAAAGTGGTTTGCAATGATAGCAGTTTTACAAAAAAAAGAACAAGTTTTCACCCTGACTATGAAAAACTCAACAGGAAGTCAAAAGCTTGTCGTTGTTTTTCTTGTTTTGGCCACGTTTCATTTGCAAACACAGTTTCAAAATAGCTTTGGATCATTGCAGACCTCATCTTATTCTAAATTCTCACGATGTATTACTTCGTTACCCAATAGTAATGTTACCCGGCAACAAGATGCACACCGATCGACCAAAAGATAATAACTACTTTTGCTTCATTGGAAGTTAAATCCAATTAGTTAATTATCATAACCTGGTTCTCGCATGTTATTTTCCTATTATCAATCATGAACACAAAGCCCAAGATTAGATGAAGAGATTTTCCAACTGATACCAGGATGCAATTAACTAAATCTCGAGATAAAATAGCTAGCCGACCAACAGAAAATTGAGCAATGATTTACTTGAACCTCATGATGAACAAACAAAGCTCATCTCAGATAACTCCCCGTTCAGACCAGTAGAGGCCCTCGTCACAATGTTTGTCCTTCATGTCGGGGTTCTTCACTTTTTCATGGTGCAGGATGTGTTAGCGAATATTTCCCCTTGTTTTCGTAAGTTAGAAGTTCATTATGTCTCATACTTTGCTTAGCTTCGTTCCCTTTTGCTAAGAACAAGAGGAAATATTTAAAGAAGATTAATTAGCTAATGTTTACGACATCACAACAGAGACTTTTTCTCGGGACCAAACACCATGAAAACATTTATGAAATGTTTTCAAGCTGTAGAGGCAGTTGGCATTTTCCGGTCAATCCCTTCGCATTTTCAACACCACTTGTAATTACTGCGCGAACAATCTGCGTAGTCAAGACTACACGAAAGCTAAAAAGGCTACGTATTTAAAACTATTTCTCTCATAATTCCCATGATACTATTCCTGCACCGTATAAGAACGATATTAGAGGAAATATATTGCATAAATCTTCAAGAAAACTTCATCAATTGCAGAAAGCACAGCAGGAAACATTCATTTGTTGAGGGAATACTATATTTTCTTATCTTTGCTTTGTTTTTTACACAGCGTGATCAAAATAATCAATTTTTTTAATCTAATGTTGTCCTTTCTCCAGCCTTCCATTTTTTAAACAACAACCTAGCTCAATTCGAAAAATGGTTATGGTTTTGAATAATCTTTTTTTTTTTAATTTTTTTCATAGTCTCAGACTGGGGTCCCTGGAGCGCATGCTCTGTAACATGTGGCATCGGAGTGAGATATCGCACGACCGAGTGTGATTCTAGTAATCCACTACCGGGAGAAAAGCAAACTAAAGTAGAAGAAAGTTGTACAGTTAAGCCTTCTTGCCCGCAAGGTATCGCGGATGTCATATACATACTGCTCGGTCTCACAAACTAATAGTGTTAATTTCGATTGAGTGTAATAAATCCAAAAGCAAAGTATTCACCAGGGCAAACCAGACAAAATGGAATATTCCACAAAGACGCGAAAAGAAAAATTCAGAAAAATGTCTGAAGCACGGAAAAACAAGGTCGGTTTTAGATTTGAATCTGATTGGTCGAGAGAGTTGGAGGAGTTTTCTGGAGCAATCAGAAGGCAAGGTTAAGCAAAATCAAAGCGATACTGGATTAATTTCGACACTCAATTGGAGATTGCTTTAATTTATTGGTTGAGGATACCTTGGTTATAATCGACAAAAAAAGGGGCGTACAAAAATTGTATAAAGTGCACTGCCCTTGAGGCGGTTCTTCACCCACACTTTGATACATCATGGCTTCTGCACTTCTTGTTTTCGAGTATTTCTTGGGAGGTTTTGACACTTTTACCACAGCTAAACTACAGCCTATTAGAAACACTAAGGCTAATAATTATCAATAAGTATTAACCATATTGTATATTCAATAACCAGTGTTTTGTCACCCTGGCAACCCCTGAGGGAAAGGGATGGCCCATTGTAAAAGTTTTTTTTTTCATTGTTTGGTAAAGAGAGCAGGGCTTTAAAAAGAAACCCTAAATGCCATTTACAGTGTATATAATAACATGGAAAACAAAAGCTATTTTAATGATTTTAACCTGATTGTTAACAGAGCATCTGCTCTTTCCTCCCCTTTGTCCCTTTCTAAGTATCAAGAAATCCCATGGTAGCAAATTGGATAATAAGTGTCTCAGCATGAAATGTTGCAGAAATTCTTCTCCTGCAACTCAGTTGAGGTGGCTCTGGATGATTTCATTATTTTAAACACCAATTCTCTAGTGGATCATTTTTTTTTTGGCATGTTTCCTTATAAATGATGGCAAAAAATTGCTTATTTAATTTCTTTTCATGTTACAATCATTTTTCTGACATTCAATTCAATGCTGCCTTAAATAACCAAAAATATAAAGTGGCCCTGAACTTTACCTAAACTTTGCAGGGAGATTATCCAAACAGTAAACAGAGTTAGTAATTGAACTAAATTATAAATCCCCTTAACATCCATATAATAGTAAAGTGAAAAGGGCCTCTAGAGAAATTACAGCAATCAAACAAACCCCACGCCTTTAAAGTGGAGGTGAAAATAAATTAAGTAGAACACTTGCTTCTGCTTAACCTATATTTTTGTATAGTAAAGCATTCATAAATTGAAAAAACATATTTTACTGTGGAAAAAAAAAATTAAACGCTTTAACTCTCAAGATCTCTTCAAAAATTCTTCTTAATATCTGCCAAACAATTCTCATTATGTCAGTTTGGAGAATTTGGATCATTTAGTAATCTTATAATTGATATTTTTCCTTATTCACATCACTTGTCTGCATAATTTCGTATAGATATTGTAAGGAGAAATTCTGTCTTGGTCACTCATGGGAGTTAGAGGGTTAAGGAGCTACCTGCCTCTCACTTTATACCTTTCCATTGTAGGTATTAGGTATAATTTGAAGAATTTTATCTTCTATTATTTTCACAGGCACCACAAGTGGGTCCCTTCTTTTGTCAGGATACTTCAATGCTGCTATGCAAGGCCATATGATCAAGTCTGCAGTTGTGTATAGCATAGCAGAATGTGGATTGATGTGTTTACAAGACTCAAACTGCAAGTCCTTTAACACTTGTTCTAGGAAAAGTGAACTCCTCTGCGAGTTAAATAACGCTACTTATGATGAATATGGAGAAGATGTTCTTTCAAAATTTAATTGTTCATATCACAGGGCTTTAAAATGAAGTATATTTCTTGCTTTTATCTCTTCAATACAACATGCTGATATCAAAATTGTAATTGTTTTTTGCTACCATAGTTCAAAAGGTTTTCTATAGACCAAAGCAAAGGTCTGTTTGCCAATAAATATCACCTTAAATTTAATATCACACACAGCTGCCTCTGTTTACACTAAACTTTTCAGAGCATTTTCTCACTGAAAAACAAGTTGTAGTTTCATAATTGCTAGTCCTCCAGTTAATTGGAAGTTGATGAAAATCTAATTCAAAGACTTGTCTTTCAAATTTATGATAAAACATTAAATCTTGACAGATGTAGTTTTATCTTTCAAATGGAACTCCATCTCAAAAAGAAGAAATAGGTCAACCATTAGGTAGATAATTTGACCTCAGATGATGAGAATAAATTCACCTATACAAATCAAACTGCAGCCCAGGTGGAGGAGAAAGGAAAAAATTATATACCCTTGGGGAATTTCAGACCCCCTTTCTCTATTTCATGTTCTTTATATGGCCTTCATTTTCAACAAGCTGAAATGGAGAAGTAATTGCCAACGAAACCATATAATTTTTACCTCAGTCAAAAGCGCATAAATGTCCTAATTCACTTCTTACCTCATATCTACATTCCTCCTGACAGTTTTCTTAAAATGTGCTAAAAATTGACCACCTATGCCACCAATTTGAATAACTCCTTGCAACCTCATTGCACATAAATAACAACAACCAGCATTCAACTGAAATGGTGAGAACTAAAATGCACAGTTCACAAACAGCTGTTGTGTTCAGCATAGGCCTCTCCACTTTCATTAAGCTTGTTGCTCCTGTCTGGGCCAAATGTGGCTCATACGTATGCCCCGGCTAGCCATGTTGCAAGACGCAATGGGTTACGTCACAGATGGTAGCCAGGTTGCTATACAATAATCAAAATGGCAGCATCCATTGTCAAATTCTTGATTCACCTGAAAAGTTAAGTTACTCTTTGGAACCTCAAAACGCAGCCATAGTCAAAATTTCATGTATGTTTTGGAATGGCGGAGATAAAATCTAGATGGTTTCTGAAGTATCCTCCTCCTTTAAGTACATTTAATTTTTAAGAAACGAACACTAATTTCCTACCTTTTAACGGTGTTTGTAGGCTTTGAAAAGCAACATATCAGTTTCTCTGCCTTGTGTTTCTACGAAGTTTGTTTCTTATGACAAATAATTCCGTGAATTCGCAAGGTTTCCTCCGTAAAGTGATTTATTTGTTAAATGCTGTTTCCCCGTGCGCTATTAGGGCGTGCGCCATGTTGGATTTATCCAAAAGAAAAAAGACTGGGAACAAATATCCAAAACGTACTGGACAAAAGGTAACCAATCAAGGCGAAGAAAGTTGGTTATTACTAACACCTAAACAATCAGATCCACGGCTATCTTTTAGGGAATACATAACAAATGTTATTGAGTAACTCTGTTGTGTTTGTGTGGCCTCATTTAAACACTCGAGAGGGCTAGGGGAGGCGGGCGATTTCTAAGAAGTTACTTAAATCCTCATTTGTGTTTCACGTTTGAAAAACTGTTTTGAAGCAGTCTCCCAGCCTCGCTCGTGCACTCATAAGGCTGTGTAAAGTCTTTTTTGACATGATTCGTGGCATCACAGCAAGAACGAAAACTGCAAGAACCTTTTCCATCCAAAAACAGATTTATTGACGTTTTAACTAAACTCGAAACAACTTAAATGGAATCTCAACTTGCTTCAAGACTCGGATTTATTACAACTTACGATGTGTGAAAACGTACTGACACATCTACTCGGCTTTTACCACGAGAAAATGATGCATAATCTGAGTGGAAACAAAATGGGAACAAGTAAAAGGGGGCTTTAGTCCATGAATGACGAATCACGGGTCAAGGTTTCAGAGCGGGCCCTGAGCGAAGGGAGCGGGTCTTCCTTCCCTCTACTCAAGGCCCAAGTCTTTTGTTTTGGCATTTAGTATTTTGAATTGTTTTTCTTCTTTACACTGCATCTAAAAGAAAAAAACAATATGCCTCAGAAACTTTCAGAAGTTTCCGAGTTCGACTCGAAGCACATCAACGCCTGTTTGTATCAGACCCTGATTTTCTAACGAAAACAGCCTCATGTGTCAACTTTCTTCTTCCATTTTGATTTCTTCTCTCTCCCCATTCTTCTTCCCTTCATGGCCGTTGGCCCAGGGCTGTTGGTCAGCTGACATCAGTAAGCAAAAGAGCAGCATTCCCACCACATATATAACAAAGGTTACCCAAAATACTGTGCGCCACTCTTCAGCTTCCTTGTGTGAGGAACAAACAAAAACATTCGTGTCTCGTGTACTTAAAAGGACGCCAATGGAAATGATCAGATTAAAGAATGACAGTAGAGCTGGATTATAATAGCAAAAAAAATTGACAGACTCATGTTGAATCCTAATAAAACTACAATTAGGTAATTTAATATTATCAACTGAGTTAATAACGTAAATTGGCCACCGTAAAGAGTTTCAAAGCGTTAGCCCTTCGTCATTCCTCTTTACAAGGAGAGCATCCAAATAGATTGGAAAGGAGCCCAATTCAACTTCTTCTGGAAAGCTGAATAACCATCTTGCTCCTCTTTACGAAAAGAGATTGGACATAGGGACCGCACTAAATCCGCCAAACGCGGATGTTTGTCTATCGCGCATGCAAATTATTAACCCACCTTATTAACTGTGATATAGCCAACCATCATTGGACTTAGGAATCCTGTGATCGTTCCCACAGTGTTTGTTAGGCCCATAATCACGCATGCGTACCGAGGAGCTATATCCAGCATGTTCACATTGTAACCAGAATGCATTAGTCCAGAGGCTGCAACCCCTATGCACATGCACGTGACCGCAACAGTGGCTGTGCTAGCGTATCCTGCGGCCAGGATAAAGGTGCCGGCCCCCATAGCTCCTGGTAAAGGAAATAAAAGGTCATGTATAAAAAAGGGAAGTGAGGAAAGTAAGTATCATTTGATGGTGAAATTAGGCCTTCGACATCTGACTGAGCATGCGCACTTATGATCAGTTATCCAAAATTCTATTCTGCGAGATAACAGTTTAAGTTCTCTCAGATTCTGTCATTTTGTAGCGACCTAAATTCAGAACATGCATTGCTACATGCACATTGTGACTTTTAGAGTCTTTATTTTCTAAATGGAACTTGCAATTTCACATCAAAAGAAAACCAATTAATTTGAAACAACATTCAAATCACTGAATAGACATTTATGGGCGTAAACCACGCCTCTGGCGAACAAATATTCGACAAATGGGTCATGATTGTTACCCACATTTCTACCTAAATGTAATTGAGATGAATCTTTGAAACGATGATAATTTAAAAATTCACAAAAAATATTTTTCTAACCAACAGCGAAGTATACTCTTCTGACTGATTTAGTACTTAGTCCTCTCCTTCGTAACAGATCGGCTGTGATGCCACCGAAAGGACCTGAGAGAGACTTGACCAAAAAAGGAGTGGCTGCCAAGAATCCCATCTAATGTGATGAATATGATATAATTAGTTACAAATCGAGTTTCCATGAGAAAAAAATTAAAAAACATGATTGTTATTTTCTATTGCCTCGAAGACGAAACCTCTTGAAGCAGCATTTTTATATAAATCGATTTTCATTTACGAAGGAGAAATTGTTCATATTCGATTCCCCAGCAATAAACACTGCAGTCTAAGAAATTTGACCAGTTCTATGTTACATGCACAAAGGGCTGCAAAATGTCTTCATACCGTTTGTATATCAAAGTGTAAAATGTCAAGAAGGAACATTGGCAGACAAATGAGAATTGTGTATAATCCCCAGTCTGAGGCCAGGTTACCAAACATGATTCCCCACACGGGTACTGAGGTCAGAATTGACTTCCATGGTATTGACGCATCGCCCTAAAGAGATGATAAAGAATCTATGATTGTGTGAAAAAGTATAACATCTTCTCTTTCCTACCATAAGAGTCCGCATTACATCAAGGGCCTGATTTAAGCAGAGTGACCACGATTAATCCAAATCAACTCTCGTAATGTGTTTGGCTATGAATAGCAGCCCACGACTCGCAGCTAAAAATACGTGTCACACTTTGTTTACAGAGTGTTTACGTACTGTTTATTGTCCTAATATCTATGCAGGGGATATGATCTGATTTGTTTCAGCTGATAAGGAAAAGAAATTATCGATCGAAACATGAATCCGACTCTGACTTCCGCTAAGGTCGTGCAAACGTCAGTCACTACTACCGACCGCAAAAGTCTCAGGACTACTCACATCTGGATGACCAGACCACACAATGAACTGTTACTCCTGGGTTCAAATCACTTACTGTACATTTCATCCTGTTGGTTCATTTTTTGCCAACCAAGTAACCAGGAACTAACTCATGTACCAAATCAGTTAATCTTTGCTATCCCTTTTTTATATTAACATTAATAAAAATAGACCCTACATGTACTCTATCAAAGCTGCTCTCAATGTAATTTTTTTCATCCTCTGATATTGTGGGATGATCAGATGGTGATTCGTGAACAATCAATTGCCAGGCAACAAACCACAGAATACCAGCAGCACCTAAAATGTAAGAAGCGAACTTGGAAATGGCTGGAAAATGATTTATATCATTTGATACTCAATGTTTTAATTAAATGAGATAGGTAATATTAATCCATGAAGGCATGTATTTTTGAATTCGTCTTCCAAATTTACATCATCAGTGCGGATACCCTACCATGGTACATAAGTGATTCTTATCAAAATTGAATTAGCAGTTTTTGAAATAAAAACCACGCATGGTTCCTTGAGATTCGTGCTTCTTGTTCCCTGTCTCTCAACAGAGTACTCGCGGAATCTCTTAAGAGTTACACCAGAGCCAGGTTTTAATCGAATAGTTTTAAACAAGAGAGGGAGAGACCGGTTTCAATCTATCTTCATGGTTGCAATGTGACCGTTCGATGCAAGATTAGTTTAAAAAAATAAGGCTATGTACTCACCGAAACAATAAAACACCGAGGCCCAGCCTCCGTCGAAGCCGTATTTTGTTAAAAGTCCTGATAAAGGCATGGTTATGATGGTTCCCACGTGACAACCTTGTCAGAAAAGTAGAATATTTTCAAAATGATTCATTTAGATATAAAATTATCGAAGTTGGGGGGAAGATGCCGCACAGAAGAGACAGACACATCAAACATTATTGTAAAACCCTCCACAAAGACAGACAGCTCCGTCGAGTGTGAAAAAGTACAGTCCAAACGTTTACTTGGTAAGCATCATATACTTATTAGCTAGCTCTCTAAAAGCGTCCATAGATTCCCCAAATGTTTATCGTTTACTGACCAGAAATTGCCATGGTAACAAGAGTTGTTCTCTCCAGTGGCGGAGCCCATTTGCTCCAAATAGCGTGATTACAAGGAAACACAGCGCCCTATAAAATGGAAGTCAAACTCGTTAATGATGAAACTTTCTCACGAACAGAACACTTGGCTCGATGGTCGAAGGGTGAGCTACAATACGCTAAGAGGCAACAAAGAATCATCAAAATTCTGACAAGCAGTGTTCGTTTTTCCTATCAACAGTTATTTGACACCAGGAGTTGCCTCAAATTAAGAATATCATAATTAGAGTTGAGTTGTGTTTCCTTGGATAGGGAGGCGCAAAATCTAGGGTCAGTTCAGTAGTTGTCCCTGCGTGAAGGATGGAGCATATGAATAAACCGCAAACGTTGCTTCAAAAAAAGGCTCAGACAACAGACCTTGGGCTGTTCATGTTGTCTTGGTTAAAAGTAAATCTTGAATCAAGAAAGTTCGCAAAAAGTTATGTGAATGGATAACTGACGATTTTCATAACCCACCAGCATAAGTCCTTCTCCAGCTCTGACAGCAATCAGACCGTACACGCTGTAGCGCGTGGCCACTGGTGTCAGGAGTGTTAACATGGAGGCTAAAAAGATGGTGTAACCGAATATTCTCGTACCGCCTAACTTGAGAGCGAGGCAACCACCAGGAAGTTGCAAAAAGGCATATCCATAGTAGAATGAGCCCAGAACAATACCTAAGGGGAATTGGTGAGGGTAGAAGTCATTCGTTAAATGGAAAAGATAAAAAATATGATTAAAAGGAGAGTTCAAGGCCACAGTGAAGTCAGAGAAACTACTATATTCCATGCCTTTCGGCAGGTCTACCATGCAGATTGTCTAGCGACACAGATTCTAGAAATTATTTTCTAACAAAATATGGGAAAAGATAAAAGGCGATGAAAAGTCTCTCTCAGCTAACTAGATGACTGTGCAAGAATTTCGATCAAGCCTGTAAGAAACAGCTTTAAAAAACTGATGGAAGTTTGACCGAATTTTGAAATTTTCTCTTACCTTGAAGCTTTGAATCCCAATCAAACTCCGCTTCCTGAAAATTTATGATTAAGATGACGATGTGTCAGTCATAATTTATCCACAGCACAGTTTTTGAAAACAATGTAAGAGGATCGTCGGAAATTTGGAAAGCTTTAATACTTTGACTTCAAACTTTCAGATTGTAGGTAAGCTAATTTCAGTGGATGGACAGCTTAAAATAAAGACTGATGTGTTGTTTAGCTCATGAACTGAGCTAAGAGACTAAATAATCTATCGTGAGAAAATTTGATTTAACTGAGGCTTCGAGTCAGTTACGAGATCTAGCAGTGGGAACACCCCCTCTGGGACACAATTCTTTTAGTGAGTATTATATCTTTGCAGACGACGTAATATCGCAAAATTAATTTAACACCTACGTGCAGTCATAAAAATATCTCCTCCTCCTTGACAGGTAAAAAAAAGGTAACAAAAATTAAAAACAACCTGGAAATTAGCATTTTTAGAAGGGAAATCCGAAAAATGCATGGTACAATTTTGATAACTAACTCATATCAAGGACATAACTAGCAATTTAGAAATATTCTAGAACGGCTTTAAGGCATGTGATGTATTTTGTAATTATAAATAGTGAAGTGACCATTTACTTTTGATTCAAGACCTGTTCTCGACCGAAAAGAGAAGACAACATATTAATCTTTCATCAACCTAAAAATTAAGTGAAAAGGTAAAATAAACCTCGGCTTTTTTCCTGTTGATGAAGTAGATATCGATCTAATGAGAAGCATATAAGAAAAGGTATTTATAATAAAAGTTTACCGTGGTAACAGTGTATCCTCTCTGGTGAACAGTGTGGTTGTTGACCATTGCACCAATAGCGACATTCAAATTAACACGCAACGCATACATGTTCATAAATCCGAGAAAAGTCATTATGGCCAATATATAACGCTTTGGAAAACTATACACAGCCAGGGAAATTCTATTCCCCTGACGATTTGTCTTCTCCGATGGAATATCTTCATCTCCACTCACATTTTTTTTACACTTCTTTCCTCGTGTCGGACATTCACAGAACTGGCATAAAACAAGAAATCTTGACATAAAGCGAAAGCAAGCATATAAAGTGTTTAAAAAGCGGGTTAAACCCGACTCCAAGTCTCCCGTAGACTGAGCCATTAAAGGTGCTCTACGACATGATTTATCCCCCTTATATCCTTATTTCACTCAGGCAAGTGTTTTCATCATATAAGAACGGCCATGACCGCTTGTTGAAGGTGGCTATTTTATTTGTTACTTGCAGGTGATTTTTTAGTTCAACCTGTAGAGTTGAAGGATGTTGCCAAGTAACACACCTTTTGTAAACAAAACCTCTTCAAGTGAAACAGGTATTTCGAGAAATTTAGTTCTCAAGACATGTTGAAAAACTTAAGAAAAAAATCAAGAATTGCCTTGAAAAAATCAAATTATGATAAAATGATTAAAAATCATTGTTTAACTCAAAGTTCATATATGATATAGAAGCACATTCAGTTTAAGTTAACCCTTTACACACTAACATTAGTATGCATATCCTCTATACTGTAGTCCATACAGTTCCTAAGAAGCTAACAAGGAGAATTTATTTAGCAATCAAGAGTTTCTTTAGTTGGTGATCATATCCTTTAGTCTCATGACATTAATGTGTGATTCAGTGGTGATATTGTAAGGAGAAATTAGCTACTAGTCACTCTTCGGGGTCAAAGGGAAAATAATGTTCGTACAGAGAGGTTATGTAATAAGCATGGCAACATCTTCAGTCGGGGATAACGTATAAAATTACTTGATGATGACTGGAAATTTTCTCGAAGCAACCAGGGATTGTTTGCAGATGCAGGTGTGAAAATTCACTCTAAACTGAGCTAGTTACTATACTGTCAATGACCTTAATTTGACCTAAGTTTACATTATAACGAGTTGCTCTCTTGTCTGCGCAGAAACCACATAAACCACAAGTAAAGTTTTAACTCACACCTGGACCACTAATTTCGGCGCCGCTTATGTAACGAAGAGGGGCTGCACTGCGTTTATCTACACAATGAATCTTCATCTATCGGATAGGTTCCAGTGCTGTTTAAACAGGTATTCCAACCAGACTAGAGGAAAATAAGTGGGGGTGAGGAGAAAAATTGATACTATCATTCAGAAGTAAGGATTGGAACTTATAGCTTTAAATACACGGCAGCGTTACCAATACACTGGGTACATCTACAGATTTCCATTATCTCAAAAACCAAATAGGTTTATTTTCCTCTTACTCCGTTCTTTTCTTTTCCTATCTCAGACCCTCATGCCTGCGGTAAGACTTGTAGTAGACGCCCTCAGAAAAGCTTTGGGAACCGTCCTTGGCCTGCGTTCCGAAACGATTTTTTCGGCCTGTGAATGACTTGTTCACGTTCTGGGGCGTTATTATTAAATACGGGGTTTTTTTTTATGTGGTGTAGTGTAGACTATACCGTAGTTCGCCTAGGTCTCATAACATTGGACTTCTTTCGATAGACTTAGGAAGAATATACTTCTATAAGATTCAATAGCTTAAGTTTGCCTACACTGATTATTCCGCTGAGTTAATCCAGGCCTGGTTTGCTGATTATAGACCTAAGGCGCAGAGCTCTGACTGAAAAGAGAGTCGTGTAAGTTGAGTGATATATGACAGCAGTTTGTAACTGTAGTCAGAGTTCATCTTGGCAGCCAAATGGGGCAGGGGAAACACAAAGTGTGGTAAGGTAACATATGGCTGGATTAAGGTTCGCACATCGACTAAAATCAGCCATTTTATATGACGGAATTTCTTTATTTCAGCTTGGCTTGATAGCTGGCTTGACAGACTATCTTACTTTTATTGGACATGACAACATAGTACTCAGGAAACTCAGATAACAGTCGATACGAGCAAAGAAAGTGTTTAACGAAATGAAACAAATTTTAAGTGAGAAATGAACAATAAACAGGTTTTGTTTATCTAACCTGAGATTATTCTCAGAGCGTCAAAGGAAAGAGCACTTAATAAATTTGTGTATTACAAACTTAAGATTTTTGAAATGGTTTTACACTCTATTTACGAAAAGAATTATGATTCTTGATGATTAAATCCAGCCCGTTGGTTGTAATTTTCCTCGCTTCGAAAACATGGGAAATAAACAATAAGAGAATTGAAAGAACATGCGTTGCATGCGTCCGTCGCTTCCATGCAATCATTCAATCACCAGTTGTCGTTCTCGCAGAAAATGCAAATTAAAAAAACAACGATTGCGAGTTGAAACATTTTTTCATGTTGACGTCTAGCTTGTAGCTTCGAGGACATTCACGCCTTGTGAATGGACGTGGAACTTTGAGCACAGGAATCCAAGGATACATTCGGCAAAGATAGTTTCGAAAACCTTACCGTTACAGTTATTAAAGTGTAAGATAAAAATGAGACCTGCAGCAGACGCGTATTATATGATTGTTTTGCTCGTAAGGTTTTTTACTGGTTTATCATGCTATCGATAGGGAAAAGCATTTTTAAAATATAGCAGTTAAAATCAAAATAATAACAGAACTGTTTAGACAACCACGTTTAAATTAAACGTGAATTAAAATGTTGAGGGCTCGACAAAGAATAGCGAATATTCCGGTTAAGCATCATAGACTATACCCTCAATGTTCACAGTTAATAGGTATTTTGCTAACACGTTGTCATGAAGAATAACAAGCTTTAATTTAATTTAACATCTATGTAGGTCTTTCAGCAAAACAAGATTGTAATATTATCCGACTGTTACGATTACTCTGCAGGTTTGTCTTCAGCTTGTTCTTCCTTATTCGCCTCTTCTTGACTTTCCTGTGGTTTTTCATCCTCTTTCTTATCTTCATCCGATTTTTCTTGTTTTTCAGCTGCTTTTTCTTCATCTTCTTCCTTTTTTCCATCTTCTTCCTCCTTCTTGTCTTCATGTTGGGCCCAGGGTTGCAGATCACCTGAGACCAGCAGACCAAAGATCACAATACCAATGATGTACACGATCGCTGTGATCCAAAATACAATGCGCCACTCGCCAGCGGTCTGCAAACGACAGCGATATTATTAAGCAGCGCGAAGTCATGCACGTTCTCTTATTTTGCCCTGGGGAGTTCACAAATCTGATATTTCTGAAAATCTGGTAATGATTATTAGCAAATGGAGACTCGGTGACTTCCACGCTAGGATATTCAAGTTTGGAACTCTGAAATTGTCATAGAGAATGGCTTAATGTCTCCCTCAGGGAAAAACTTTTACGTTTAAGAATCCATTTTTCGCCTGGAAGTAGAAATTTACTTGTCCCCCACCCGCTGAAAGCGTAGATTTCTTTAATTAAATTGACCTTAAGCAGTAGAAGACCTCGCAGATGAAAGCCGTCAACCAAGGAAACTTCTCATTTATTGACAAAATATTTCTTTACTTTCAGATGCACTTTACCTCATAAGAGGTGATTGTTTACCTTGTTAGGAGTGACAATTCCAACAATCTGTGGGCTAATGAAGCCCGGTGACGCACCAAAAACATTAGTCACACCCATTATGACGCCTGCGTACTGAGGCGCAATATCAAGGATGTTGACGGCATAACCTGAAGCATTCAGACCCGTGATACCCACACCAATGGTAAGAAAAGCAACGGCAAGAGCCGGAGTCGTAGCATATCCTGTTATCAAGATGAAGATCGAAGCTGTGGTACAACCTGAAGACGAAAACAATATGAATTTAACTGTCGTAGAAACTGAAGCGCAACATGCATGAGATTGCTAAACAGCAAGTAGCAATGAGAAAGGAGTATCAGGTGCAGGTAACTGGGAAAGAAACTTTGTCTTACCAAAGGTAAAAACGCATCTTCTCGTGTTTCTAACGGACATCTTGTTTTTAATGAGCCAATCCACCAGAATACCTCCGGCAGGTCCAACAAAAGCTTTGACAACATATGGCAACGCCGCCAGAAACCCAGTCTGTGTAAACAACACGAAGAATTTTCCTCCTTTCATGATTGGGCAAAAAAAAAGTTTAAACGTCTTTCGCATACATATTGGCAAATTGAATGGCAAAATTTCCCATCCCCGGTGATCATGTTTCTAAGTGTGTGTGGTGACAAAGTATTTCAATATTTCATTGACTCCTAACTCTCGTTACTGATACATACATACCTTAGCAAGGTCGAAGTGCAAAACCTCAATGAAATATTTAGGGAGACAGATCAGGATAGTATACATGCCCCAGTCTGCAGTGAAATTAGCTGTGATGATGGCCCACACGGGAAGTGATGTCAAAATCGATTTCCAAGGAACCTGGCCTTTCTAAAATAGCAAATGGCAGACTTCAGTTTTACTAACTTTGTCCCGGTATATTGATTTATTTTTTGTTTTTTAGAGCCTCAAAGTCCAGTAGCTAAAGCTCCTGACTTCACCAAATCAAGAGGTCCGGCTTGGAGCCGTAGGTGGTCGTTGTGTTTTGTTTTTTAGTTAGAATGAGTAACAAAAACTTTTCAGGGAAACTCAACGAAAAACGCGGAGGTGGCACTTAACTAGTACATACCACTCAGCTAGTAAGATATATTTCACGTGGTCATTTTCAGGTACTAACGACCCCTTTACCTTAGCCTGGGGTAGCTTCGCTATACTCTCCTCTATATAGTCTCTTTCTTCAGGAGTGATAGTAGGATGCTCTGATGGAGAGCCATGGATCGCTAGTTGCCATATAAAGAACCAAAGAAGACCAATTGCTCCTAGATCATTAACAAAAACATAAGAGGTGATGTATTTAAAATGAATTTCCACAAGACCTCTGCAAGACAGGGTAGGATGTAAGGCATCACACCACTGAGAACTGAAAGGAACAGTTTAAGGAGATGGTTCGATTACGTGTTGATATAGTGTGAAAAAACAGCTTGCGGAAGGGCATAATGGCTAAAGTAAAACGGAAAATCGCAAATTCTAACGTTTGAGTTACGAGTTTAAAGGAAAAGCAAGGTAGAGCTACAACGGTGAAAGATAAGGTATCATTCAATTTTATGTTCTGTACTTCTTACCAAAGCAGTAGAACACGGAGGCCCATCCCCCATCAAATCCATATTTAGACATAACGCCACTCAGTGGCATAGATAGGATAGTACCCACTGGACAACCTATCACGTGATACAACAAAGAGAGTTATGAATTGCTGGCAGCAAAAATGCTCGGAGGAAAATATGATTTTAAAAGGTTTGGGCGTTTTTCAGAACTTGTCCTAGATCAAATTCTTGAACACTTCGCCACGCCAACTTTCACATCAAAAGATGTATTCCCAGGGTGAGGATTGATTGATTGATTGATTAATTGATTGAGTGATTGATTAATTGATTGATTGATTAACTGATTGACTGACTGGCTAATTGACCGACTGACCGATCGACTGATTGACTGATTGATTGAGTGATCGATTAATTGATTGAGAAGCAAGTTTTAAGTGAAAATTACGTCAGGCAGAACGTAAAAGGGTGCCCGGCTGTAGAGGGTAAGTCAATCTAGTTTTTTATAATTGGTCACTTCTTCCAGACTGCACATTTAATCACCTGCAACGGTTATGGTAAAAAGTCGAGTTCTTTCAGATGGTGGTGCCCATTTGCTCCAAATTGCGTGGTTACACGGGAAAAGAGCACCCTTTGAAAATCAAAATAAGACAGAAGTTTAATGAGAATATGGACGAGATTTTTAGCCATTCGTGGCTTAAATCTTTGAGCCTCTCTCGTACATGCCATATGGTCGAGTGACTAGGGGTGAAAAACGATATGCGTTACTCTTACTAAACAGAAATATTAGAACATGAAAAATTTCACCTCGAAAGTCAGGCTCTTGTTCATATCTCTGGAGGGTTACCTACTGACGGCTTGTGGGTTGTCATTGAGTAAGAGAAGATCTTAGCAAAGCCACTTTTGATTGGTAAAAACTACGTAAAACCCGCATAATATGCAATAATTGAGAAGACTAGAACCATGAGTTGCATTGAACGTCGCAAGAATATGATTCATCGATACTGGAGATTGTCTCGATGCTTGTTTGCTTGTAGAAAACACCCTGTAATTTGTTCACTTACCAAAGCCAACCCTTCTATCACCCTGAGAGTAATTAGAGCTGCGACACTGGTGCGCGCTGCAATTGGTGTGAGCATGGTGAGTATTGAGGCGATCCCGAGACAAATCCCGAACACGCGGGTTCCTCCAAACCGCTGACCTAACCAACCGCCTGGGATCTGCATAGCAGTGTAGCCATAGTAAAACGCTCCAAGTATTGTGCCTTTTGGGAAAAGAAAGAAAAGGATTCATATTGGTTTCGTGTCCTTCTCAATTTATTTCATTTCAGGTGTTAGGCACTCATAAACCTTTATCATTTATCGTGTTGTTCACAACTATAAATCATGGGGATTCGACATTTGGAACTTTATTGACTAGATATCTTTACTGACTGGCCCCAGCTCACTGAGGAGCTACGGTTTCCTCTAAATTCAAAGCTGCCTGGAACTGATTTGATTTGATTGTTTACTAAACTAAATGTTTAGGAGCCGTTTAAACAGTTCCTCTGTGTTTATAATAAATTCTACTTGACAAAAATAGTTTTTTTTTTAAATTCTGAGATATGTTACCTTGAAGCTTTGAACTCCATTCAAATTCAGCTTTCTTTAATCGAGAGAAAAAAAAACATGTTACTTTCGAGACAACGTGTAATTGTTTAAACATGTATTCGATGGACGCTACAATGTATGTTCTGGAAATACAAGAAGGAAACAAACCTTCTGTATGGTAAATCCATTCTGCTCCACAGTGTGGTTATTGCACATGGCTCCTATTGCTACACTAAGGTTCACTCGGAGAGCGTATTGCACACAGATACCAAGAAAGATCATGATGGCCACTACATATCTTTTGGGAAAACTGGATTTTTTCGTGGAATCCTTCTCGTCTACCCCCTCGACGGGATCTGGTCGAGGTTCTTCGGTGTCCGCCATTATCAATTCGCTATTTAAAGGAGATGAATACGAGTTATATTTATTAAAACCCTCTTTGCCGACAGACCGATCGACTGATGCCAAGCAAGTGCATAATTAGCTGGTCTGTTAACTGTAGCAGGTCAACAGACCGTCTGTTTGACCGGTTCAGTCGACTTTACCATCGTTGTAGGCCTTTTTGCACGATTTACCCTCTTTCTCACACCTCACGCACTGACCGTGACTCTACCATCTAGTCATTGGGACCTTCATTCATTGAGAAGTACTGATCCGTACCAAATTACTAGCTCTTAACTTAACCTGTAAAACAGCAATTAGATAACCTGATTGCTTTTCTTGTACTAAACCCTCCCTGATACATTCTACAAAAGGTGGGAAACTGATTTGTCAATAAAGTCATTTACAATTATTTCAGTGCCGCTACTAGGCTTCAAGGCTCCCAAACATCTCTAATATGTTTCTCCCGTTAATTAAACGTAACAAAATTGTATCCACCTTTGTTAATTTTATCATTCTTACTTTTAATGCAGTTTTACCTAGTTGTATCTTTTTTCTCGTTTTAGATCAAAAGATCAAGGCACATCAAGTTTAACTTTGTTTGAACTGGTACCATGAGACCTCGACAATCAAAACGCGATGAAGACTAAGGTTTTACTAAGATAACTTTAAACCACCTAGATGGTTTTAGATACTGCTAGAGAAAGCTAATCTAAATATCTCTTAGATATGCGCTAGAATTGAACATAACTTAAAATAGAAGTTTTACATTTTCACCGCCCGTTTGAAACAAGCTAAATTATTTAACAGCCACCTAATCCTTCGTTCCTTATATCATTTCTTGTTTTCGTGGTTGCTTTAAACGTCTGATTCACGGCTAAGTTCAACAAAATTCAATTCTTCAATCCCTTCAATAGAAATTAAGAAATCAAAAAGATATTTCTTCACAGTAGCGTTCTTTGGAGATACCCTGATTCGTAAGTAACTATACCAGTCAAAGATCAATTATAACCAGTGGTTGTATGGTTCTGATGCTAAAGGAAGAGTTCTCAAAGGTCATACAAGCCACTGAAAAAGTGAGGAAACGTCAAGAAGAAACACTATGAAGTTTTGTCACTTTCGGCTAAGTAAGAATGAGTATAATTACCTTTGAAGATATCCCTGTGAAGCAGTTATTGTTTTATTCACAGTAACAGGTACATCTCAGCTGCAAGACATTCGCCCTCTTCTCGGTCCAGATCTGAATTTCAAAAATTTATCACTAGACAAGTCTTCTCTCGGTATCAGGAAAATATTGAATTTTCCTTTGACGTGCGTTGAGTCCTTCGCCAGTTGTCTCTTTTCACTATTAAAAGTCTTTTAAACGGATCAAAAACTCAGGAAGAAACCTGCTTTGAGTAAATAGCCCGCCTCTTCTCGGGTTCCCTTGTCACTTTTGCCAATATTATTAATATTTCATTAAAAACACTGACGGCGTTAATGAAGCGTATCAACCGAAACGAAAGTATCCAGTAAGAAAATTTACCCACCAAAAAATTCACGTTCAGTCGAAATCGGACCGAGAAAGATTAAAAATTGCAAAGAATTAGTCCAATACTTTATTAAAGATATGTTTGAGTGGAAATTACAACTGAAACGGTGAGCAAAATGTAATTCCCCATTCCACGGTAACATAAACTCGGTTAAATTGTAAGTCGGAATCCAGAGGTTATTAGAAATTTCGCCGGGATATTGTCGAATAAAATCTTTCAGGGTTAAAGATATTGAATATAGTCTTAGGACGATCATCACTATGTTGAGTAAGTAGCTTGACAATAAAAGTGGCTGTTTTTCTTCTGCTATTGTTATTATGGCGAGAGAGTCTCACTGGAAATAACATGATTGCTAGTAATCAAATGCTAATTTGTATTTTAAGCACCTTGTGCTAAGAAAGCATTAACGTCCTCATAAGTTAATGTTGTCATCGAAAACTTCTTTGGTTAGGAAGTAAAATATTATTTCGAATCCGTATTGCCTAGCTAGTTATTAACTCTTGGAAGACTGAGCGTTGTCAGGGAAACGCGTCTCCAAAATAATCCTAAGACAGTACATGTCATTTCCAGTACTTTCCAATAAGCCATGTTATGATCTTAACATGCTGTTTTTAGCAATTTGGCATTTCAGTGCTGGGCAGCAAACTACCTTGGTTATCAAAATTTATCAAAGTTAACGCAGTCTTAAGAAAAGCATTTTTCAATCGAGATAATAATTAGAAGCTATTCACATGGAATGAAGAAGAACCTACCACTCGGAACCTTTAGAGCGTAACAATTTTTCGTTTGTTGCACGAGCACGAAAGAGGTTTTCTTAATGAATCACTCTCTGAAAACGCATCCTCTTAGAGGCTGTTTTACGCGTATGAAAAAACCCATAGTAATGGGAAACCCCTGAAGGAAAAATTTATTTCAATTTGTTTCACAAGAAAATTCGGTTTTCTTAAACAACGCTTGGCGAACACATCTTTAACACAAAAGGAATGTTATCTCCTTTTAGTCAAGTCCAGTGGGAAAAAACCGCAAGGTGTATAACAGTGAAATATGCAATGCTTTTCTTTCATATTGGTTAACACTATATTCAACACTAGGATGATTCTCCTCCTGAAATCTTCCTCCCGCCGTGTAAACGGCTTTACTGAAGATCACTGACAAGAGTGTGTTTGTGCACGACTTTATGCAGTGGTGTTCCTTGGCAGAGGCGTGGCTAGACAAGCGAAGCGATTGGGTGCCGTGACCTTCTCTTTCTGAGAATTTCTTTAAGTCAACTATTTACAAACCCTATCATTTGGGTGGAGAAAACGTGCTACTCCGCCAGAAGAATCAGCAGAGCGTAAATATTTTCCAGTAATTGATACTCATCTATACACGGGAAACTTTCCAATATACGAATGAGTATCAAGCACTGGAAAAGATTTTCGTGAAACATACCCTGTTCACACACTGCTCGTGCAAAAAAATGTAATTTTTAGTAAAACACGGTGTGGATATCGATACGACAATCTGGCTGGTATAGGTATCCCATGGGTGTAGCACAGTTTAGCCCCCCACCCCATCCATTTAAACATTTCTTGCTATGGTCTGCTTGATATATTGATCTTTAATCAGTTATGTTTTCATGAAGCCGAGTTGGAGAGATAATAATGCATGCGCACAATTTAACATGATATCAATCTGGCTCATAACATATTTCCAATTTGATCAAATCAATGTCGTTCTGATGATAGCAAAGGGTAAATGTACTTCAGATGAACGATTGAAATAAATATTACAGTTGTTCATTCACACGTTGCTGAGAACCAGTTATTTGTGTGGGGTGTGAAACCTCGTTCACTATGATAATATTATTTTCAGTGCATGGCAATAATTTCCGGTAAGCCTTTTGGAAATCGCGGTTTGTTAGCCAGTAGATGAGAGGATTGATGGAACTTGACGTGAAAATCAGAAACCCGTTGAGCATGAAAACTCCACGTGGTAAATTCCCGCCTCCTGTGAACGTGTCTGCAAAATCTATGATGGAGACTGGAAACCAACACAAGCTGAATCCCAAGGTGGCGAACATCATCGTCCAGGTGGCACGAATTTCGCGCGCCTTTCTCGACTGTCGATTGGCTTGACCAGAATTGTCTTCCATTTGCGCGACTTGTCGGTTGTTTGCTCTTATCGCCATGATGCATTTCGTGTAGCTGAATCCGATAAGTCCCAGTGGAAACGCAATGAACAGAAGCTGGACAATCGTGGTGTAAATCAAGTTGACGTTGAAGGGGTATATACAGAAAGCTTTGCCTCCATTAAAAGCGTAATATCCCCAGCCCGTCAAAGGAGGAACACTTGCAATGCTTGGTAAAATCCACAGAAAGGCAATCATGCAAATCACGTTTCCTTTGGTAAAGATGGCTTTGCAATCAAACGGTCGGCAAATGGCGAAGTAGCGATTTAAAGCAATCACCGACATATTAATTTGCGAAACAATTCCAAACGAAAACATGAAAAACCCTTGAAGATCGCATACCACTGCGCTGAACGGCCAATCCCCTGAGATAAGCACGCACAGTGTTAGTGGCATACAAACAACCGCCATTAAAATATCGCTCACCGCCAAGTTTGTAACAAACATGTTTGACACTGTTCGGAGGGCAGGGGTCCGGAGAACAGCCACACAGATCATAACGTTGCCAAAGAACGCTAATGCAATGAGAACAATGAGGGCGGTTAATTCCAGGACCTTAAGTGGGATGCTGCGTTGCGCTAAGTCTACCACTAACTGTGGATATTCGTCCAACGAGGCCACCATCGTTGCAAATGCCTTTTCACTATTAGCTCTCTAACTCTAAACTGTAAACCAAAAACAACATTAAGGAAATAAAAATGAAATAAGAATATAAATGTTTTTGTTCTTTCAATTAGAGAGGGACAAAAAAAAAACCTCTGAGTTCCCATAAGAAACCGAACTACTCGACCTTTCAGATTCTGCGCTTTAATGCTTTACCACTGAGCTACAGAGAACTATGTGGAGAGCTACACCATCACCAGGTTCACACGTGACACGAGTCCTGCATACTGCCAAGATCAACGATGTCCAAACCCACGTATGAGTAAACAGAAAAAGCGGTAAATTCTGACCCCGTTAATGAAAAAAATGTACAGAAACACGCCAACTGAACATAGTGAAAGAAGGCCTCTGATGAAGTTACAACAGGAAAAGCACTACCCTTGCTTGTCTTGGTCTGACCTAATTAGGAATACCTCATGAAGCTACGTTCACTTCTAATAAGAAAAGAGGCACAGGCGTTTATCTAAGATCCATTGGCCGCCTAATTGGTTGCAGCAGGCAGAATAAATATAATAATACAACATCAAACATACTTCTAGAGCTTGGTCGCGTAATCGACCGAATAAGTGCGTACAACGGATAAAGTAATTTTGAAACTAAACGAATTAGTTCGTACAACTAACGAAGTATCGCAATTAGAGCCGATCGAAGACGTACAAACAACTAAACATGTGGCATTTAAAACTGAGCGAGTACTAAATGCACACAGAGAGATTTCACAACATACTGAAATATCTGTACAACGAACTAAATGACATTTACTATTGACCAAGTGGGTGCGCACAACTTGCGGACTGATGTTTACATTTGAAAGGAACTGAGAGGGTGGTGTTTATAATTGATAGACAAATGAGTGCGTTATGTCCACAAATGTATAATTAAGAGTGAGGGCAAAAGATTTCTCTTGACGGAAAAAAAGGAAAAGATTCATATCAATCTATAAATTTAGTTTTTAAATAATCTGCGCGCCATACACATCTGCAGACTTGATTCTCTTTGAAATCCTAGGTTTCAATTTGTAAGATCGGAAGTAAACAATGCTGCTTTTTTTACATCCCATTGGTCCATTGGTACCAAGAAAAACAAACCCAGTCAGTCCGTTCCATAAGCATTTTGGATATATTTTCAGTCGATCAGTAATATTTTTAAGATCAAGTGCTCTTTAAACTTAATGAAAAGAAAACTAAAGCTGACCACAAGGAGATGCTAATAAGAATACAGTTATTTGATTAAAATATCCGAAGGAAGGTTACATGCAGACAAAATGTGCTGAATGCACCTGCCCCTGACCCTAAATCAACGGATCTGAGAAGGAAAACTTCGAGTGATCTCGCTACTCCATGATCAAATGATAGTAAAAAGACAAACTGCCAAGCTCTTTAATGACAAATGGAAATATCTTATTTCAAAATATTTTGTTCCAGAAATTTTTCCATCACCAACGCCTAAATAGGACAAATTAATTTACCTACTTTTAATTAATGTTCTCATGTTTTTAAAATTTTTAATCAGTAGCACCTAGCATTGATTTATCTATTGTAGTCTTCAAAGCGGCAATTTTCTTTTTAAATGGTATCTACTTTACTGTATGTTTTGTTTTATTGTACGTAACTTATAGATTTTGAGACAAACCCGCACATCAGACCAGAAGAAAGGCGTCAAATTTTCGGTAAAAATCGGGCTACTCGTTAGGAGACGAATAGCAACAAAAGATTATGTCTCTTTTAAAACCTATATGTATACCCAATTCAGAAAGAGTACAAAACCTTATCATTTAAGGGGACCAAAACCATACCCTAGAGGGACACACAAGCCTCCAAACTCTGAATAACATTCACTCTAGCTAATGTTTTCTGATTTAAATCACTTTTAGCGCCGTTTTATTTTGGCTCCATCGAGGGAGATGATAGGAGAGCGACAGCTGGGGTATGGTTTGGGAAATACGAGAATCAAACTAACTTACCTGAGTGATTTGGGCAAACAAGAAAAAATACACTCAGTGACACAAAAAGAATAGTAGCAGCGACATAGAGACCAAGAAGTCCATTTTGATGACTGCTCTTCTTACGGTGTTTCTCAATTTACCGAGAGTTGTGATAAATCTTAATTAAATATAACGGAAAGAATGTCAGCCATGAGCATGTGACAACACAGTCAATGACCAATCAGATTCCAAGAACTACACACTGATTAGTCAAAACAGTAAACAATCTTTATCTCGATAACAGATTTTCGACGAGCAATTTCAAAAAATAACAGCTTATTTTTACAAACTTTCATTAGTTTGAATCAAAAGCTTACGGTAGCTACATTGGATTCATGCACATATGATATCTGCCAGCCCTTTCCAGATTTTGATTATCAATGATTTATTCGTCTTTTGCCAGTTTCAATCGTGGAAAATGCACGTTTCACTTAGCCACTTGAACTTTTTCTTGTGTGTGCGGAATCGTTGCTTGAGTTTAGTTTTGGTCACGTTCCCTCAGGGGTAATTTGTGTTGCATTCATAAACTTCCCCAGATCATTTCTTCCGATCTTAATTTCAAGCGGCAAACTAACGAGCTAATGACAAATAGGATATGTGGCAAAACTGGCCTTGGAAAAAGCTGTTTCTTATGTTATGAGTTCACCTTTTTTAAAAACAAGCTTCTCCTAGTTCCATCCTTTCCCTTTTAACGTAAAAATCTGTTGAAGTGCTGGAAAATAAAGCATCCTGATCATCGGCAAAAAATGAAAGTAATTAAATTATCACTTGTATTTATGATTTCAGATATCGAAGGGAAAGCAATAGATTGGAAATCAGCCTGCGGATTTAAAACTCAGACCGGTCATCTGTTTATTCTGAATGAAACATCCAATTAAAGAAATTTTCTTTATCTTCCATTATTTCAGATTTCGGTTAATTTTACTGAAAATTTTAATGGCAAACCCCTTTCATTCCCATGAATTTTTCATCTAAATTATTGACAGTGACATAGTCAGCTACATGGAACATGATCTTCACATGTGTGAAGTCCACCTTTGTCTTCATTATTATGACAATAAGTGAAACTTTTTTTTTCATTATTATGACAATAAGTGAACCGAACTCGTGTAAGTTAAAGTCTTCGGTCAAAAGGTCATAAAATCAGACATATCGGTGCATTTAAAATTCAACATATCTACGAAATCGAAGAAAACTTCCCCCAAAAATCGTTTCTGATTCGATCATCCGTTCTTATTAATCCTTATCCATGAACTTAAATTCAAATCGATCATTAAATATGGATTTGTTTGCCAAACCAATTATTTTCGACGCATGCAAGACGAGATTCGTGAAAATATGTTTTTGATTTTTACATGTTTTTCATTACTTCATTAATACCCTGATCAAATCGATCATTAAATATGGATTTGTTTGCCAAACCAATTATTTTCGACGCGTGCAAGATGAGATTCGTGAAAATAAGTTTCATTTTTACAAGTTTTTCATTACTACATTAGTACCCTGATCAAATTGATCATTGAATATGGATTTGTTTGCCAAACCAATTATTTTCGACGCATGCAAGACGAGTTTCGTGAAAATAGGTTTCATTTTTACAAGTTTTTCATTACTACATTAATACCTCAATTTGCACAGAAAGAGAACGAAAATACACTCAGTGGAGGAAAAAATGCTGCACTTAAAACTGAATCTATATTATTTTGCTTCTGCAAATTGAACACTGGCAAAGTTGCTTGATGAAATGTTCAAGAACAACTTTTAGAAAAGTCTTGAAATTTGAATTGTTCTTCCGATCTTTCTCCTAATGAAGTGAGCATGTACAATTTACAATTAAAACAATGACAAATTGAAGATTTTAACGGCACAATTATTTCCCCCTGATGTTACTGAAACTGTTCTTCATATAGGAAATTGATAAACAACATTCCAATTACCGTCAAAATTTGCATGAAATCTATTATGAAATGTGGATATCTAACTAAAATTTCCAACAAAGGGGGTGGAAGAACTCTGGATCGCAAAACACGCAAATTTATGAATTTGACACGAAAAATATCCTTTGAATGAGAGGAATTCTCTATAAAACTTGTGATTTTTATCCCTGCCACTAAAAAAATATACATAAAATTAATGGCACTGTCCACTATTGAGAATAACAAAGAGTAACCTGACCTTTCGAAAATTTTCCTCGAATAAGACTATGGACACCCCTCTGTTGAAACTTTCCTCGCATCCTGTCTGCCTATCGTCGACATAATGGAGTCTAACCCCTCCTAGCGAGCTGTTTCGATATTTGCAAGCTAATCAAAAGGCAATTTCGGTCTCATGTGATTTGGCGATAAACAGGGCAACGGCTGTCTGAGAGCCTTTGACATGTCATTCTCGCTATTGGGACTTGTGCGGCCAGGTTACTGAGTTGTTTGCCACGTAAAGGAAAGAACTATGGACCGAGAACACAATTAGATCCTACTGTCACTCGAAAAAATAAATAACTTTTAAAAGCCTGACCGGGTTATTTGAACGGTGGCTATTGCTATCCACTGGATAAATCTCTACCCCGTGGATAGTACAATACATTTTTTGTGTGGCTTGATAGCGCGTTATCCGTTTGCCTCTGAATATTCCTCAGTTTAAATTGTTCAAAAAGTGATTAGATTAACGTTATTGCACGAAAATAAAATAGCTACAGATATATTCAATTCCTGCGAATGAGAAGCCAATACATTGTTTCTTTATATTTCATTGAGATTTACAATCGAACGCAGAGTTTACATTTAAAATCATAAATCACAACAAGGAAGTTTAAGGTATGATATCAGTAAAACAGAACCAGTCCATCGCAGGTAGTGACTGTCAGTCGCTAACAGATACAATTGTAAATTCCGAGCGGGGGCGGTGTGACTTGGCAGCGTTCAGACGAAGGTAATGTTTCATTTCATATCCAAACAAATGGATCGTCCATGTGGTGCAATAAAAAAAAATCATTCGCTTTGTAGATTTGTCCATAATGATTACCTAAAACCAAACTAGATGCAAGTAATTAAACCTTTCTTCAAATTTTAGATAGAAAACATCTAGTTTTTAATCTCAGTAAGGGCTCGTTCCATAAGATTCATCTAAGAACAAGTCTAATTACAGATCGAGGTAGCGTGTCCTGTTAGGCGGCGAAACCCCATAACTATGTGTGCTCATCATAAAAGCCTGCTGGCAGATACATTAACAGACAAAGCCTATTCAATAATACACTGCAGGAAACTGAATGGTTATTTAGAAAAACAGAGGAAGGTCTCCTTCTAGAAAAGCATTAAAATTTGTGTTTGACCATCCCACCATTCACACGAAATCTACATCTTAAATAGCCTGAATGCATGTGTTCAGGCAACCAGCTGGGCTGATAAATTTCATTCTCTCTGAAATTTGTGTGTTCCAACAATTAGTGGATTAATATTTTGTACCGTTTCAGTCCTCAGTGCAGAATATAGACTGAAATTTTAAAAAAAGTTAAAAATTGGACAATAACGTACAATGAAATTTTTTTTTCCAAAATATATTTTTTCCTGACGTCGTTCCTCAGCGACTCAAAACTCTATTTCAACTTATTTACCTTGATATTAAAATGAATTTTTGCGAAAACTTTAATTTCTTTTTCCTCAGTGAGTCATACGTTTGTGAGAACTCACTTCCATAGTCTCTGGACATCGCAAATTAAAAATGGGAAGGAAAATATAGCTGGTGAAAGAATAGAAGTGTTGAACTTCCATGTTTTTGTTTGCAAATAGTGAATAAAACTTGATGGTCTGAATTTGCGACCACTAAGTCGCTAACGCGCGACTAAAAGTTACTGCATGTGGGCGACCAGAATTTAAATTTTAATGCAACTTATTCTTCAGGTGAGCCAACCCTCAAGGAACGAAAGAAGAGAAGTGTTGAAATTCAATGTCTGCGTTTGCAAATAGTGAATGAAACTTGTTGGTCTGAATTTGCGACCACTAAGTCGCTAATGCGCGAATAAAAATTACTGGATGTGGGCGACCAGAATTTAAATTTTTAACGCAGCTTATTCTTCATGTGAACCAGCGCTCGAGGAACGGAAGGCACATCTTTTTTCTCTCTCTTCGTCTTTTTTCGGTGCGCTTCTTTCCACCCAAGTGGAGATCGTTCATCAATACCCACGAGTAGGAATATGTTACAAGCAAAATTTCAAAAATTTAACGAACTGGAATATTTCTTCTGAAGACGGCAAAAACAATGTCTGGTTGCCACTTGGCGCCTGCGTAGGAAAGTTAATTTCTTACCCCGAGGCCAGACATAAATTAAGAAGATATTTGTGAAAAGCGTTTCAGAAAGCCAAGTGGCGTGGTTTTTTTATTTTATTTTTTTTAATCATTTGGTTCAACTTTTTATGAAGTAGGCGAAGATAATTTCCGTTGACCATTAAACGGATGAAAATTTAAGAAGCCAAACAAAAAAAAATAATTCTCCAGAAGTCATCTTTCTTGTGGCATCAAGAACAGTTGCATTAGTGTCCATAATCATTTTGAAATATTTCAGCGTCACAGAGAACAGATCACGTTATTATCCTCTCCTTTATATCAGATTCGCACGGAAAACAGTCTTTTAATGGCTTCGAAAGTAGTTCAACTAAAAAATATAAAAACTTATTTGATGAAAAAGTGATTATACTGGCGCTCTGGCGTCATAATTAAACAGCGAGCGATAACAAAAGTCTTCAGTCTCAAGGAATATTCTAGGACCGAGCATATATCTTGCTTTTTGTTTTAGTTCGTTAATCATGAGGAAAAGTTTATTTTTGAAAATATAATTACAAACAGCGCTACAAATAAGATTATTTTACCACTTTTGGCTTCTTATGTTCTGACGTATTTTCTTAAGTTTCAATCTGAAGTTGCCTCTTCCAGTCGGTAGGTGAGTCTAAAGAAGGAGATCTTGTGATAGGTTCACATCGACTTGCAAAACAGACGAATCTGAATTTAATCAAGGAATATCACTGACATATGTGCGAATTAATCGATACATTTTTCTTCTAATAAATCGAATTCAATTCATGCTAAGTTTTATTTTTGCTCCTTTACAAGTATATTTATAAAAATGTTACCCATGCCTGGAGGATTTACGACAACTTTCCTCTTTTTGCATAATCTTGACAAAAAATGTAGATTAAGTTCAGAGCCACCTTAAATCTTCGAAATATTGAGTTAGTTCTTTGCCTGCTGGTTGTTGTTTGATGTAGCACGAACTCGTTCAAAATAAGGCTCTTTTCGAATAGATTTTTTGGCAACCTCTTCCCTGATCGATAAATTAACAAAAGATAGCAAAGACTTTACACAAATCCATTAACGAAGCAAAAAAATAGAAATCTGTATGTTGCTAAGAACGTTGCTAAAAATAGGGAAAAAATTTGTAGCCCCTATCGTTCAATGTTGTCATTTTGAATCCAAGTTAATCCTCTAAATCCCTAAATACTTTCATCACTTTTTGATTCGTCTTTAGCTCTGTTGTGTCTTTTTCTACTCTAGCACACTATACCTTACATGTTTCCTTCTTTTTCAAGTCAATTACCCCTGACGCTACTGAACACCGACTAAAGATTATTGTGCCTAACAATCCTTTTGACCTCTGAATCCTTAGAGCATTACCGCTGAATGAACACTAGGATATCCGCTTGGATATCACCATGCAGTTAAAAGCACAATATTTCAAAGGAGAGAAATCTCGATATCAAAGTAACCTTTAGCTTCTTGGAGGAAAAAAATGAAAAAAAAGAGAAAAACAAAAAAGCAACGACGGTCGAGGACAACAAAATTAACAAGACTTACAAATGACAGGATCAGAACACTTAGGCTGGATTTTTCGGCACAGTCAAGCCGCTGCAATCTGTTAAATAAAGCATAAACTTCAGTGGTTCTTTATGAAACCGCATAAAAAGGAAAAAAAAAAAGAACAGGAAGTCTGTTCAGCTAAGAGAAAAGAAACGGAAAAAAACAGTATGTCAAAAAGGCCTTTAAAGGTAAGTTGTCTGGCAAAGAGCCGCGTGAATAACCCGTAGGCCGGTTGTCGTAACTAGTCAACCACCTCGTTCCAAAATAAGCTTGAAGACGTTTGAAGACTGATCTGTCGCTATTTTCCAAATGGCTCGACAATCCTTTCGCTTCGATGATCAGTGGCGAGACTAAAATGTGACTTGGCTGCCTCGAAAGCTAATGTTTTATTTCATACAGAATTAGATGGACAGCACACGCTTTCTTTCTTATTATTGACGTACGTGTAATTAATAAAATTGTGTCTACCATCACAGTGCTTTTAGCTTTTCAAGCTTAGAAAAGGTTCCGGCTTCTTTCGTATTTTCCTAATAATGTGAAAATAAAGGAAAGTTTAATGGAAAGGAGATTAAACGCGACGCTGAAAGACTTACACTGAAAGAAGCAAGGTTGGTTCTTTTAATGCCGAACGTCACACATTATCATCGCTTAAGGAAGCTGTACTACAAATTGAGATATTTTTATCTTTTCAGCCTTCCAGAATGCGTCTTAAGTCAGAGGACCTTAAGCCGACCGTCACAACGCGGAGACGAAACTTAAGTGGAGAAAACTAAACGGCCTATATTACGATTTGCGAAACAAACTATGTACGTGATAGGGAGTTTAAAGTGAGAAAGCGAATTATAAAAACATAAAAAAAATAAACGTTACAGAGGTAGTTACAGAAGAATGGCTTCGCATTAAAATCGGGTAGAAGACCGCAATGTAATCAATCCCCATTCAGCTTTTACCATTTTTTTCAATTAAGTGTAAGTAAACTTTTTTTTACGCCAATTTAATTATCTACCATTTCACCTATTTGAGAAAAAAGATTTAACAAGATTCAAAACCAGACCAGTCAAAACTGTAATGTACAATTGTTTTTCACATAGTACAACATTTGAAAATATTTGGGTCGATTTTTAAACTACATGTAAAAATTAATACAAAATTGATGGGAACGTGAAGGATGGAATAAAACAGAACGTTAAAAATTTGACTGGCGGAGTTCTAACCAGACCGACCACCGCTACTTATACAATAACTGAGATAATACGAGCGCCCTAAGCGGTGAAAAACCTATCGTTTAATGCAGCGGTAAACCGTGTAAAGCAAGCTTGTAAGCGAACTTGCTATTGGTTTACCGGCGTAATATTGGGAAAACACCTCTGGCTTGCGATTTACAAACTCTTCTCGTAATCTCCCAGCATTCTGCGCGGGTTTTAAATCCGGTAAACCGATGGAAAAGGTCCTCAATAGGGGATGGTTCTGAAGATACACCTTTTTTTTTCTTTTTTTTTCGATTTTGACGGTTATACTTTACGGCCACTGACGGTTGACGTATACATATTTGTGCCTCCAACGGTTGACGGTTATCAGGAAGATATTTTTTATTAATACGATTAGAACATATTCAGACCTATTCAGGTTTTTCTGAAAAAGTGTATTGAAGTGGAATTCCGGCCAAGACCTTTAACGATAATTAATCAATAGCTTCAAGCAACACCTTGGTTCCCGATATTGTAGGTGTAAACGACATTACCAGTATCGCGGGACGCTCGTTATTTATGAACCCAGTAGTGAGTTAACTTTCTGTAAAGACTCTGTAGCACAGTGATATGGTGTCAGAACGCAGACTCCGAAGGTCTAAGGTTCGATTCCTCATAGGGATTCAAATTTTTTTCTGTGACTCAAGATCGTGAAAAGACGAAAAAAAAAACATCTTTTTCAGCATCGGCAGAGCTTTGCCTAGTCCTTGTCCAGAAGGTGAACGAAATCAGGGGATTGGTCGAACACGAACGCAAGCGCCTGTTTCGCATTTCTTCGCTTGAAAAATAAGTAAATATAAGAAATAAAACAGCGATGGAAGTTATAATCACACGATAGATCAATACATATGATCCAATAACGTAATGCAAAGGGAAAAAGATTTTGGAACACTTCTCACCATTTCGCCCGCTCTTTCCGTCTCTGGACAATAATTATGGTAGATCCAAGGTAATTTGGTATTATCAACTGCGCTGATGACGATTTCAATTTCTTACATGAAAATTAATGCCAAAATTTCAATTCACTCGTTTATGAAAACTTCCAATGTACCTTACAAACCCAGAATCATGGTACAGATAGTATAGAGGTAAAATAGTTAATGATTAATACTAACAGACATGATGGAAAACTAAGTACGATTTATTTGGCCTGAAATCAATTCTAAAAAACGTGAATATTAAACTTAAAGATGAAAGTAATAATATTTCAACCAAAAAAGTTATTTTCAGTGAAATTCAAACGGATAACAATAGCAAAAGCCTTTTGTCAGTTATCAGTAAATCTAACTTCAAATGTCAGTTGTCTGTTAACATTTCTGGTGTTTGTCAGTTGTCAGTCAACCCCGTTCAGACCCTCTGACCCTTTTATGGCTTTTTTTTAGATAAATGTAACATGCATGTTTGTTATTTAATCAAAAGACACCTGTCGCATTACATCTGATTTTCAATATTTTGCTTGATTGTAGCCCTCCAACAAACTTGGCTGTCTCACTAACTACACTTTCTGACTGGAATGTTCTCTCAGGTGAAGCCGATAAACTGATTTTACGCAAGCACTTTTCAAACTACAAGTATGATTTTCATCTCTGGAGCGATGACTCTCCCACATAGGTTGCGTGTTTGTTATCTAATCAAAAGACACCTGTCGCATTACATCTGATTTTCAATATTTTGCTTGATTGTAGCCCTCCAACAAACTTGGCTGTCTCACTAACTACACTTTCTGACTGGAATGTTCTCTCATGTGAAGCCGATAAACTGATTTCACGCAAGCACTTTTCAAACTACAAGTATGATTTTCATCTCCGGAGCGATGACTCTCCCACATAGGTTGCGAAGAGAGGCAAATGGGGGCATTTACACCTGGTGCCAACAGAGAGCAAGCCAAGGGCTTATGTCATTGCAAACAGCCTAACAGCGAGTGGTTCTGGAAATACCAGTCTGATATAGATAACCATGTTATAAAAAAATGAACATGATATTACCAATGTTTCAGGGTTAGTTGGGAAGGGTACGGCTGAGCGCGGAACATTGCCAGGGTTTCTTTATCAATGCCACATCGAGGTTGATGACCAAGTTACAGGCCACACGTGACTGATTGATTCAACATTCCAATAGAATCTCCAAACTTTCAGGTCTTAGTTCGCAAATGGAAATGTTAGATTAGGGATTTTCGATGAAACTTTCCACAGCTATAGCTATTTGCGACTGCAAAATTGCAATCCTATAAAGGACTTTTGTGCGAATTTCCTTAATCTAACTGGGCTCCATTACCAGCTACTAAGTCCGCAGAGACAACGCCCGAGGTCCTCGAGAGAGAAGCTGTTAATTTAAGCAGTTATTAGAAGATACGAATGCCAAGTCCATGGCATTCATAAATCCTATAATTAAATTAGTGTAGTTTACTCTGTATGTTCCACTTGTCACCACTGTATCGGATCGATCAGGATTTTAATTACTGGGATGTGAAAATGTATCGGTTTTGACAGTTTTGCATGCATTTTTCCGTTTTTATCAAATTTTTTGTCGGTTTTTCAGTTTTGGATAATTTCCACGGTTTTGTGGTTTCTAATAGGCCCCAATGCCCCCCTCTGACAAGAAAATTACAAAAATGCGGTTTTGAACGAACATGACAGTTCTGGGTTACGTAACTCCTGTGAGGTTTAAAGCTAATCAACATAACAACGACCCGCAAACTACTTGCAACACAATCATGGACAGCAAACTTTATGGCCATGTTCAACGGACTCTTTCCGGGCAGCGAACCACCAATACTTATGGTGTTGGTCAATGGATTCCTTCTGACCAGAAAGTTCTTGACAAATGGTTAACCAACTTGATAACAGAAGTCAAAATTAAATCCAAAGATAAGTTAGAGTTATTGCTGGTTCTTCATCCACCAGCTGAAGATGAAGATACAGCTAGAGCTGAAACTCAGCCGGTAGTTGCTAACGGCAAAGAAGAAGACCTCGGTCTCCATCCACCGGTTCAAGAATTATTGAAAGCTATCATATCCGACCCCAAAATCTACATGTTCTTCCATCAGATGTTCCAGCAACAGTACACTGAGCTCCCACATATTTCGGAAAGGACAAAGATTTCTAGCTGGCAATTGATGATTATATTAATTGACTACATCATGACAACAGCTCCAGAGTACAGCAAAGCTGGTTTGGTTAGTTTCCCCATCAACGCAATCCTGAACTGGCCGATGGCTACGACTGCTGGATTTGCTGCTTTCCTCGACGACAAAGTCAACACATTGTTCAAAAGTATTCTCAACTATTGGGGAAAGTTTCTTTCCAGTTCTGCTTCTTGTTACGTGTTGAATGAAAATCCTCGTCATGGTTGGTTTGGTGAAGATGCAATGCAAGCAATGCCAAACTTCGACCAAGAGTTTAAATGTAAACCTAATGAAAAACATTATGGTTTTACATCATGGGATGATTTCTTCACGAGAGAGTTTCGTGATGGCATTCGTCCAGTAGAATCTCCGGACGACGATTCCATTGTTGCGAATGCTTGTGAGTCGGCGCCATATCAGATCTCTACAGCCGTGAAACACAGGGACTTCTTCTGGATAAAGCACCAACGGTACTCATTGGACTTCATCCTGAACATGAGTGACCTTGCCAAGCAATTTTATGGTGGAACCGTCTACCAAGCGTTCCTAAGGGCCACCAGTTATCACCGATTTCACAGTCCTGTGTCCGGTACCATTTACAAGACAGAACTCGTGGATGGTTCTTATTATTCTGCAACCCACGACATTCAGGATGACCCTGCATCGCCCAACATGTCACGAGGATACATAGCCCAAGTAGCTGCCAGAGGTATTATCTACATTCAAGCTGACAATCCCGATATTGGCTTAATGTGCTTCGTATCAATCGGTATGTCAGAGGTGTCCTCCAACGAAATCACCGTTGAAGAAAAGGATAAAGTGAAGAAAGGTGACCAGCTCGGTATGTTTCACTTTGGTGGGTCCACGTATCTACTGATATTTCGCCCTGAAGTAAACATCAAGTTCGATACGAGAGGTCAAATGCCAGGTCTAGATACCGAAAATATTCCGGTTAAATCGAAAATTGCAACCGTGCATCCAGCAATCTAAGCAACTATAAGTAAGGATTTTGATAAACAGATTGATTTTATCAGTGTTCAGTATGAACATAACAATTCTCTTTCTTTCCTCTTAGGAAAAGTCTTTTTGTAATAATGAAATTGAGTTTTTTTTTTATCAAAGGTTATCATTTTTTTTTATCAAAGGATATCATTTTAGCTAAATTTAGAAGTGTTTGGCAATTATTTAAATTAGGAATGTTCTGCGGGCTTAGATTTTGTGAATAATTTAGGCATGCTAGATTATCCTGGAATCCTTATGGAGTCTTGTGAGCCTTGGTTTGTTATGTGCTGCAGCAAGACCACACATTTATATTCACCTTTTGAGTGACTGGTCCTCAACCGTTGTGATAGGCCTTAATTTTTGTACGATAATCGTCATCGATAGTCGTGTTTGGGTTTGTCCTTGCTTAGAGTCCTCAGCGGGAAGTTTTGTTCAAGGTTTTAGTTCTCGAGGTTTGGAAGTTTTTTAAACCACCAGCTGTTTTTTCGAATGTATCGTGAAATTATTCGTGTATTTGAAAACAGTCCAATAATATGTGGAAAAAACCCTTTTTATGCAAATCTTTTTGTGCCACGAGCATATCTAATAATTGATGGTGTATTTTCAAACCGAAGCATTTAATCACTTAATCAAGCATTTGCGATGGCATTTTTAATAATAATTACGAACCAAAAGTTTCTTAACTCACATTTGGAGCGAAAGGTATTCCATACCATGGTTTACCGAAAGTGCGATTATAGAGAACTTAATCCTCGATGTGTACATTACCACTTCGTTGATT